GTTTTACAAGCAGACAAGTAGATTAATATACAAATCTATACAGGTGTAAAGAGAAGAAATGATGAACGAGAAAGTACCTGTTTAACCAGGTTTTACAAAGAGACAGGTAGATTAATATACAAATATTTATAGGTATAAAGAGAAGAAAAGAGAAAGCACCTGTTTAACCAGATTTTATAAAGAGACAGGTAGACAAATCTGTGCAGGTTTAAAGAGAAGAAAAGAGAAAGCACCTGTTTAACCAGGTTTTTTAAAACGGACAGGTAGATTAATATACAAATCTGTACAGGAGTAAAGAGAACTATGATTAAAGTACCTGTTTAAAGAGACAGATTAAGATGTCAAGTTTAAAGGATAGAAAGGTGAATGTAACTGTTTAAATAGGTTTTTTTTTTTTTTTTAATAAAAAGGCAGATGAATTTTACAGATATAAAAAAAAGACAATGAAAATAGCCATATATCTATCTTTGTAAATATATATAATAGTTTAGTTAAAGATCAGAAGTTCTTTGCAAAGGATATCCTATATTACTGAACATGTTCTTCCTTTTCATTACATATTTAAATATAAATTATTCAATGTCCCAGTTATTATCAAAAACCTTTGCTTATTGTACTATGTCTGTTTTATTAATTTTCAAATATTGTGTTTCCTCATCTTTACTTAATGTTTTAGCATTGGGTTGTGTGTTTAAATTATTTTCATTTTTTTTTTTTTTTAACTCTCTGGATTAGCCATTGAGTCTAGAAGACACTGCCCAATAATCCACAGTATTACTGGACTGGCACCATATAGAACTGTTAAAGCCAATTTGCTTTATTGTGCTAGATGGCCATTGACTATGCAAGAAGATTCATCTACCCTTTGACAAAGCTTATTTTTAATTCTGCAGGGTGTGTAGCCACCACCCTCATCATAAAAGCCTGCTGAGGAAACAGTTTAATTTCAGATGATATGACCATCAGGTCATCAGTATTGGGTTAGGTGGTACTAGCAGCACTCATAGAGTGACCAGATATAAACATTTAAAAAAAATAATGGTCCATCATTAGGTTTATTTTTTTTTAATTTAAAGTTTGTTATATGCACACACACACACACAATGAGATATAGAGAGAAATACATATAAAGGTAGAAAATTCCTGCTTATCCAGGTATTAAGACAAAAGGTACATAAAAACAATTGTTTAATCAGGATTTACAAGCTGACAGATTAATATACCTGATTTACTGATAAAAGAAAGAAATTCTGATGAAAACAGCTGTTTACCATGACTTAAGAAGTAGGTAGATGAAAATACCTGTTTAACCAGGATTTGTAAAGAGAAATGCAGGTGACAATACTTGTTTATCCAGGTATTAGAAGGCAGATGAAAGGAAAAGAAAAATGTGAATAATTGTTTAACCCAGTTTTATAAGCCAGCAGATTAATATACCTGAAGGGAACAAATACTGAGGAAAATATGTTTACCACAATTTATAGAGAGGAAGGTAGATGAAAATATGTTTAACCAGGATTTGTGAAGGGAAAGCTAAATTAAGATACCAATTTATACAGGTATAAATTATAGAAAGGTAAAAATACTTGTTTATCCAGGTATTAAAAGACAAACAAAAAGAAAAGAAAGGCAGATGGAAATACCCATTTAATGAGGTTTTACAAAGAGACAGGTAGAATAAGACATGTTTGAAGGAAGAAAATGTGAATATAACTTCTTAAAGAGGTTTAAAAAACAAAGATGGCTGTTTTACAGATATACAAGTAGGTAGTTGAAACTAACCACACACACACACACACATATATATTATATATATATATGGTTTGTTAAGGGCCAACAATTTTTCTGTTATGTATATTTTACTATATTACAGATCATTTTCTTTCATTCCAATCTATATAAGTTGTCATATGTCTGAAGGATTTATTGCTAGCTATTATCAAATACTTTTACTTTTTGTTTTATATCTTTTTCATTTTGAAATATTGAATTTCTGGATCTTTCCATGATAGTTCATCATTGGGTATATATTTTTTACCTTTTTTTATATTTTTTCATTCTTTTCTTTCATTATATTTTCTTTACTTTTCAAACCTCTGCCGAATGATGTTGTCATCTTCATTATTGTGCCCAGCCAAACCTATGATGCTAGATGGCCATTGACCTTACAAGATGGTTCATGTGCCTTTTGACAGGTCTTGTTTTTAATCCTGCTGGGTGTCTAGCCACCCTCCTCACCAGAAAAAGCCTAGTGGGGGAATCAGTTTAGTCGCCGATGACCCGACCATGCGACAGGTAGTACTGGGTTACATGGTATCAGTAGCACTCATAGAGTGACCTGACAAATAGGTTTTTAGAAAATATTGGTTTGTTGAATTTTATAGTTTAATGTACTGAGTAAGACAGACATCTACAAAGGTAGATTAAAATACCTATTTAACCAGGATTTATGAGAGAGACAGGTGACAATACATGTTTATCCAGATATTAAAAGAAAAGAAAGGTCAATAAAAATACCTGTTTAACCAGGATTTAGTAAGAAACAAGATACCAATTTATACAGGTATAAACAGAGAGATTAAGATAGCAGTTTTAAAGATATAAAAAAATAGGCAGTTGAAAATACTAATTTCCAGAGATTATATATAGGTTTTGTTGCAAGACCAAAATAAGTTATATTACAAATCATTTTTCTTGGTTTCTAGTATATATTTAAATATAAATAGTCCAATTTCAGGTATTGCTAGCCATTATAAAAAAAAGTTTTCATATGTCAATTTCTTCACATCATCATCATTCATCTTAATTTTTAATGGATTTTTATTTATATTTTTTTTTTTTAAATTTAATTTTATTTTAATGAATTTTTCTAACCCTCTAGACTGGCTGTTAACCCCTATGCCCAACAATGCCTTATCATCACTGCACATATATCTCTGGGGACTAATTTGTGCTAGACAGCCATTGACTCTTCAGAAAAGCCTGGGGAGATCCATTTAGTTGCCAGTGACATGACCAGGTGGCAGGTAGTACTGGGTTACACAGTACCATTAGCACTCAGTGGGACTTGACAAAGGTTTTAGTAAATGAATGTTCTTTGTTGAGTTAGTTTTATTTTTACATTTTATTCATTATTTCTATATTTATTGATATTTATAGTTCATGTGGAGATATACGTCTCTGATGAAAATAAAATACCTGTCTACCAGGATTTATGAAGAGAAAGGCAGGTGACGATACCTGTTTATCCAGGTAGTAAAAGATGAAAATATTTGTTTAATCAGGTTTTATAAGCTGGCAAATTAATATACCTGATTTACAGATATAAAGGGAAGAAATACTGATGAATATAGCTGTTTACTATAATTTATGAAAAGGAAGGTAGATAAAAATACCTGTTTTAGGAAGACAGATTAAGATACCAATTTAGACCAGTATAAAGGGAAGAAAAGTGAAAGTAAGTATTTAACTAGGTTCTAAAAAATGACATTAAAATAAGTTTTATATATAAAAGAAGAGGTAGTTGAAAATGTGTGTGTGATTATATATATATACACACGCACACACAAAAGTTTGATTCTCCAGACTAACCATTATCTTTTGTTTAAGAAGTCATCTGACTAGCCATGCTGCTCTGGTTGCAGATAGATATTGAGCTCTGTCTACTCCAGTGTGCTGGATAGCACTTGACCTGCTAAGAAAGTTCACCTACTTTTGACATGTCCTGTTTTTAATCTTACTGGGTGTCTAACCAACCTGCTCACCAGTGGGGAAAACTTTAGCCGCCAGTAACTCGACCATGCTGCGAGTACTAATGGTACCAGTAGAAATCATAGTAATTGACATAAAGGGTTTTAAAAAAAAATGATGGTTCATCATTGTCTTGCTTTATTTATTTCTTTTTTATTCAACCTTCTCCCCAACATTGCCATGTCATCACTTCATTGGCTACATATATAACTATAAAGCCTAAATTATTCCACTGACCATAGATAGTTTAGCCACTATTTGATAGGTTGTTTTAAATGCTGCTCAATGTCTAGCAACCCTCCTATAGTACCAATAGCACTTATGACAAAAGTTTTTAGAAAATGATGGTGCATTTTTAGATTTTATTTTTTTATTGAAACTTATGGGTTTGTTATATATGCACACACTCACACAAAAGTAGATAAAAATTACCTGTTTACCAGGATTTATGAAGAGAAAGTGAGGTGATAATACCTGTTTATCCAGGTATTAAGATAAGAAAGGAAAGGGAGATCAAATTATTTAATCAGGTTTTAGAAATCAGCAGATTAATATACCTGATTTACAAATATAAAGGGAAAGAAATGCTAATGAAAATACCTGTTTAACCAGGATTTATAATGAGAAAGGAAGATGAAAAGATGAGGATAATTGATTAACTAGCTTTTATAAGCTGAAAGATTAATGTACCCGAAGGAAAGAAATGCTGAGTAAAATAGGTTTACTAGAATTTATGGAGAGGAAGGTAAATGAAAATACCTGTTTAACCAGGATTTATAAAATAACAGGTGAATTAAGATACCAATTTATACAGGTATAAAAGAAAGAAAGGTAAAATTACCTGCTTATCCAGGTATTAATAGTAGACAGACAAAAAGAAAAAGGTATATGAAAATATCTGTTCAACCAGGATTTATGAAGTGACAGGTAGATTAAGTTACCAATTTATACAGGTATAAATGAAGAAATCATGGAAATACCTGTTTATCCAGGTATTAAAGATTTTATAGACAGATAAAAAGAAAAGAAAGTTAGATGAAAAAAACCTGTTTAACCAGGATTTATGAAGTGACAGGTAGATTATGTTACTAATTTATACAGGTATAAAAAGATGAAAGGCAAGCATATTTAATCATGATTTTAAAAAAGACAGATTCAGGTAGCTGTTTTAAAGATATGAAAGAAATTCAGGCAGTTGAAAATCTTTGTATGGCCAGTGTGTACATAAAAAGGTTGAAAAGTAAAAGTTC